CTTTTCTGATGTGAGGGGCACATTATACTTCCACGTGATTTCTGTGCGGTTGGTCTCTACGTGACATACTTAGTGGAGACCTCATAGAAAGCGGTGAGTGTGCAAAGCTGTGTTCAAAGTGATTGAAATCTTGGTTTGGGGTTTCTTTGTTTGGTTATGGAGGCGTCTGGCCGAGTGAGTTGCTATCAACTTGACCTTTCCAGGCTCTGAAGAAGGCGAAATTCGCCGAAACGTCAGCTTAATCGTGAACAAAGAACAATAACACCTCGCGTTTGCTCAAAAAAAATACGAACAAAATCACTTGATCAATGCCGAGGTTAATAGAAAGTCGGTCGTGGCATTTTCGTACTATGTGAGTGGAAATCCACGTCTGACAGCAAGTGTTAATTGTCTTGTTTTTCCAGACTTTGTACTTCTGCTAATTATATAATGGCTGACAAAAAATGCTTCATATATACACGTCTTTGGTCTATGGCCTGTCAATAAAACTGATAACATTAAGTGGCAGCAGAATGACTAGAGAGATAAGGAGAAGTGCATCAACAATGTGTTGAGACCGATGAGATGATGAAAGCCAACGGTAGTAGGACTATGATAACTTAGATTCAAATAGTAAACCCGTTAACATCTTCTTCTATTACACTTAAAAATTAAAACTAACACAGCAAACAGATACCAATCGCATAGCAAACCTAACATGATATTTCCAATTATAAGCCAGCACTAAATATACGATATCACAAAACGGTCACTGAAGTGTAGTTCATCGTTAAGCCAATGCTGAGACCTAATCTACTACAAACGGAACAATGGTGTGAAATGTGAGCATTCATAGGTCGTCTTCAACTCCCATCGTGCAACGCAGCAGTCGGAACGTGCAGATGCCGGTGGTTCTGGGACGGGGCTTGGCCATCGCGCGGCGCTGACGATGCTGTCGTCGTTCCAGTTGCGCCAGCCGAAAGAGCAGCGTGCGAGGCAGCGGTAGTTGAGTACAAGAAGCGCCAGAAGTCGAATGCACCTGAATTTAAATGAGTTCATGACATTTAGCAGCACATTCATGTTTGTATTTCTCAGATACACCGCCATATACTATGCCCATTTCGTACCCAAACATGTGCTGCCAGATTGTTGTAGATATATCTAACCTGAACACCTAGATCTTATAGATAAGGTCCGTCTCATCCGTCTAATAATGTTTTACGTGATAAGTACCTTTCCAAACTGGACATTAAAATTTACTGTAGCGATTAGTCCTATTTTATTTTACCTTGCCCTACAGAAGCTTTCAAACCAACCTTTGAAAGAGCCATTTCAGACAGCGAGCACGCCATATATAGACAAGCCTGATTCTCTACTATGAATCGAGATTGTTGGGCTGTACTGAAAGATAGTATAAACTACATTATATAGTGAAGAACTGATAAGATGAAATAATAAGAAGGTTCAAGATCCTATATGTCAGCATCACACGAGATCAACTTATGAACCTGCTGAGGGTTCTCTATGCATATGAATTTAACTCGTCAGGAAAATTCTGTGAGCCTAATTAAAAAGGTTGATGTTCGCGAGCTGTCGGTTTTAAAATGCTTGAAATAAGAGTTACGCCTAGGTCAAATAAAAGTCGGCCTTTAGAGATGTATTACTACGCTATGTGCCACCTAGTACACCACCGACTGCTAAAGGACGCATTGCTTGCGAAAGAGGAGATCACATTGGATGGGGAGAATCGATCGACACTCGTCCTTCATAACAGGGCACCACAGAGTGAGATTCTTCATTGGATCGGTGCTCTACTTCATTGGATTTGACTCGTAGGTAAATGAACACGCACATCACACCACCTGTGGATCACCGACTAGGATCAGCGCGGCTCTGAAGAAGGCGAAGACGTCGAAAGCTTAGCCGTGCAAATATTTTACACCAACTTCGCGTCAGGTCAATCACCTAAGAACGTAAGAGCTAAAAGAATTTAAACAGCTTTGCAAACATACTAATGGACTTCTGCCAATCCGCGTTGCTATTCAGTACAACGAAACTGTTTAAATTGCACTCAAATACTACTATAAACTCTTCTCATCGTTTTTCTACATGATTGGAGTTTAGTGCAAAATTTTGAGTCGGCCAACGTCTCGCCGCTTTCGTCTTCTTTCTTCAGAGTCTCACTGTTCCGAGTCGATGGTCGTTGTCGCACCGAATCGAATCCAGTGGGTTTTTAAGATATGTCCTCTTATACATTTGCTAACAGAGCTGGTTGGCTTAGACTACACTCACGTCGACCTATCGTGTATAAGATCTTTCCAAATCTCAGCAGGGGCGTGCACCGCGTTCCGTTTTGGGATCCATGTTACCGTTTCATCGTATCCATTTGTCACCAACTCTTCTCATTTGACACTTGACACATGAACGGCCCGTTCTCATTGGTTGTGCGGGCCCCAGCATAACCTCCATTTTTCGGAGATTTTCTGGTTAAGCCATCGTGCTTCCCTGGAGTCCCAAGGTCAGCCTGGCCAAAGTCTGCCTCAGGCCGTCGCCACCACAGGCAGTCGCCACCCTTGCTGAGCAGAAGGAGATTTGCCACCATGCGACTAGCTTTATATCACGACGGTGGTGGATCGTGGTATTGGTTTACTCTTAGCTAGGCTTTCTGATGGAAGCGCCGGACTCATTCTCAGTTTCGGAGACCCTGCCGGGGGGACGACTCCCCCGCTGAGTATCGCAGTCCGACATCAAGGAACACTTCCCAGCCACCATGAGGCGGTAAACAGTTAGGAAGACTCTTCTCATTACATAACCGAACTAGTGCTCAATTTCGAAAGCTTTCCATATGTATTCTTCTTGATCTTGACGATGGGATATTGCGCCTTCTGCAACTCCATCGATGTTATATTTACCGCATAAATTTTTTTGCAAGACACCATACAAGTACTTCGAAGGTATTGTGTAAAATACTCGACGTTGCTGAAGTGGAAACTTATGTCTTACTCTGTGCTAAACGCTATTTAGCTGATGATCGCTGACACAATAGTAATAGTTTCGACGTTGTCAATCCCTGTTTCAAGTCCAAAAGAGGACTTCTAAAGGAACAAACCGTAATGAAAAAACACTTCTGAGAGTTTACTTATGGTTTCGGCATGTTCCATTCATTGGAGTTCACGTCGATCTATTCACTGAAATCTTGGGTTCCATTTAATGTTCCAAATATGCACGATAGCATAACCATAATGAAAAAGCGGTAGAGCTGGCATAACAAGAAGATCGGCAGATAGTTACGAGGATACGTTTGGTCACTATGCTTGCGTAGAATGAGGGTGCGCGGGTTTCTCCTGTGGTGGAAGTTCCCTTCCCTTTAAAGGTATGACTAAGGGTACACGAACTGCTGGTAATACTTAGCTTTCATCTTAAAGTGGAGTTTAGTTAGCTGGTGCTCTTTCATGCTCAATAGTCGCAACTCGTAATTGACCGGTAAGAACAATATCGCTATCGGTAAATATCGCTAAAGAACATCAAACAGATCACATTAGGATAGCTAATGTGCAAGAAAATTCAAGGCTAAACGTGTTAGGAGGCATAACTCTCCCTGACGGTGCGCGCTCGTTATTAGAATTGGGGCCGAGTTTCTCACCATCTGAACCCATCTCTAAGATAACCTTGCGTAGGGTCGCATGTGGTTTACATGAACTTCAAGATAGACTCCGCAAAAAAGCTAGAGATGAAGCGCTAAATAGGTGCGAACAACATCAAGTGGGGGCTCTACCAATAGCACCATTTCCCCCAACGTTCTTTAGACAGCAAGAGCCCAATAATGAAGTTGATGTTAAATTTCGGATGTTTGCGAATGAAACTCTCAAACTCCTTAATCACTATCGAGCGAAAAGATACAGCTCCAACCTCACTCCAGTGCAAAAACGTGGTATGCGAAAGGTACGAGACCTGATAAGGTTGAAAACCATAAGACTTTCCGTTAGTGATAAGGGTGGAGAGTTTGTCGTAATTCCTCAT